TTTCCTTTCCCTAACACTCCCAGCCCACCTACTCTGCCTCAGACACCACACCAAGCATTGGAAATGCTCCCAGTTACTGCCCTTGGAGTGCTCAGGTTTAATCCAGAAACAGACTTGTAAATAAGTGATTAAAAATACCATGCAATAAGTGCTATATTATACAGCTGTTGTGAAGGTCAAATATAATAAAACAGATGAAAACACCTTGTGAGGTATAAAATTCTATTCAAAGGGGAGCTATTATCATTCCAGGACCCTCCTCTTCTTAGTCATCAATCCTAATCCTATGTTTTATTCAAGGCTTTAAATCAAACTGGATTTTCCCACAAAGACTTCTCTGTGGTATCAGCCAATGGGTGCAAAATAGCTGTGTCTTCTTTTGTTCTCTCTTTATGAAATTGTAATCTGTGCTTTATAGTAATTGCTGGAAAAAATCATTTCCATTTTGGGGAAAAAAAATCCTCTAATCTTAGTTGAAGCACCTCAAGTGTAGAATTTACATCTCAGTATGAGGAGTAGTTTAGTTTGAGGTTTGAGTATGAGTTCCTGAATTTTGAATGAAAAAAAAAAATAGCTTAACTTGAGAAAGAAAATGCTCTAATGATCCAACAAAATGCCTCTGCTTGGAACATGCTTTACATCCTTTGTTAGATGCTTTCTCTTTATGGGGACGTGGGGCAAGTACCAGCTGTACTAGAACCACTGGACACTTGAGTAACCCACCCTGAATGGATCGTGACATGTCCAAAAGGCTGCCTGTTAAACCAGAGACTAGTTAAAATAGAGCCAATGGTTCTCCTCCCACAAGGACTTCATTAGAGACTGAATGCCTAGTGAGAGACATTCTCTGAGAGGATTATCATAGAAGCAGGCAGCCCCTGCTCGATCACAGCTACTTAAAAGGGAGGCGAAAGTCCACCTCACAAGGTTGTTGGAAGTCCACCTCACAAGGTTGTTGGAAGGGTTTCAAGGGGTTGGGTGTGTGGAATTACCTTCTTTGCCATATATGCAACACATAAATATTAATTGGATTTTGTTTATCCATGTTATTTTAACATTTCCCAGTCTTTAAGGCCTCGTTAATCTCCACTTTATTTGCAAATCCTTCCTTGAAACTTCTTTCCCCAGTGAGCAACCTTTTGTCTAAATTCCTCCAGTACCAAGGACAAACGTCTTTTCTTTCACAATAGTTTTAGAATACCACTATATTCCTTTTCATCATTTTTTCACACCTGTTAAGATCTTAACACTGTATCACTGCATTATTAAAACAGCTTCTTAAATCTACCCTGGACACCACTATTTTGCTTGTGTCAATCTTCTTGGCTCCTTATTGCCTGAAGGACTAATTAACCTAACAGATGTTAATTAGGTCCTAACATATTCCTGAAGTAGGACCAGGACTGGGGCCAAACAAGGAATAGGGTCAATGGATGAAGCTGCAATGAGGGTTTAAAGAAGGTTATGGCGTGATTCCTAAATTTAATTGCTTTTGTTGAGCTTGAGAAATACCAAATATATAAAATACTAAATAACAAAAAATAATTCCTGCACTAAAATAACATAGAAAATAACTCATGAGTATTTGTTTATATATTCATTCATCTATTGATCTAGCATGTAGATTTCATATATATCTAATAATTAGACCATTTCTCTGGTCAACTGTATTAGACCATCTATCTATCCCAGAGTCTAACAAGTCCAAGGTTAATTATGAATTAGTTATTAAAATAGCAAAAGAAAGGAAAAGAAGGAAGATCCTTGTAGGTCAGGGGTGACCACAAAGAATTTTTACAGCAGACAAAAATGTCCCAACTCTACTCCTGATGCTTCCATTTATTCTCCATCCCCACCTAGTAAAACTGGACTACTGATTATCTTAGAATATCCTTATGGATTCCTGAACCTATGTCACTGCTATTTTTCCTGGATGCCAATGCCTACTGCTCCTTTTGGATTTTGCCATAATCTACTAATTTTTCAAGGTGTAGATTCAATCTGTCTCTTGTACGCAAGCATCATTCCCTGGCCCCTCCCCTCCTGCTGGAAAGTTTCTTCTTGTTGTGAAGTTTTGAATCCCTTGTGATCTGTACCCTATAGTTAGTTACCCCATGAACTACTTGTTTCCATGCTCCACAATCTCTCAGGCTTTGCCCTTAGCAACTTTCCACCTGCCCATCTACTTCCTCATTTCAAGGTCCTAAGAAAAAGAAAAATAACCCTCCTGTCAAAATACTATGAGTAACTCATATTGCTAGCCTTCTATGTGCATCTTTTCTCTTGCCCTCTTTGAGGCAAGTCTCATATCAGTAACTCGCCACCAGAATATCAAAAAGTACTGATGAATAGGGGTACTGATGAATAGATGGCTCAGTCAGTTAAGCATCCAACTTCAGCTCAGGTCATGATCTCATGGTTTGTGGGTTTGAGCCCCGTGTCGGGCTTTATGCTGACAGCTCAGAGCCTGGAGCCTGCTTTGGATTCTGTGTCTCCCTTTCTCTCTGCCCTTTCCCCTACTCATGCTCTTTCTCTCTCTCAAAAATAAATAAACATTAAAAAAAAATTAAAAAGTACTGATGAATCACAATCATTTGCAAAGGTATCACATATCATTTATTACCACTATTAGTTGAAATACCAAAATTTGCAAAATAGTGCAGATTTAAGGTTATCCTCAAATTTATACCATTCTTTTTAGTGGCATTTCAAAATAAGTCAGAGAGAAAATAAGTGGGCTACATTTATTAGGGCTGTCCTTATATAGGACAACTGTCTTTTACCAGATCACAGCATGGGGAAAAAAAGAGGGGCTGAAAATAATATTTATATGGTTGTAAGCTTCAAGTGCCTTCATCATTGAGGCATCCAGTCATTATCTTTGACAAATATAAGTGCTTGATCAACCTGTGCTATTTGAGGTAATGACCAAAGAGTGATATAGGGTGCTTTCTTGAGACCTCAAAGTAGATGATTAAGAAGTACAAAGACATGGTAATAGAGAATGTAAATCAAATGACTAATGTTTCTACTTGAAAACACACATCATCACCAGGTAACACCAGACGTCTTCTCTTCCATGAAATAAGGACAGCTCACTTCACAAAGCAAAGATGGGACATTGTACTGTCAGGAAAAATGGAATTGGAAATCATTTTTGATTTGGTATTGGTCCCAGGTCGCCATTATCTAACTGCTTAACTTTGGGCAAATCACCTATCTCACTGAGCCTCGATTTTCTTATTTTTGGAAGGAGGACAAAGACATTGATCCTATCTACCCTTGACAATCAGTGTCCGGAAAAGTACTTTTAAAGCACTATGCAAATATAAGGTGATATTGCTTTGATTATTGTGTCTTTGGTAGATAATTCATTTTCATTTACTCAAGTGTTTTTGTCTGTACATATATTTCTAATGCATATGTCATCGTGGCCATTTATTTTTTTTTTGTCAGCGAGATGGCTATTTTTTTTTTATTTTTTTTTTCAACGTTTATTTATTTTTGGGGGGACAGAGAGAGACAGAGCATGAACGGGGAAGGGGCAGAGAGAGAGGGAGACACAGAATCGGAAACAGACTCCAGGCTCTGAGCCATCAGCCCAGAGCCTGACGCGGGGCTCGAACTCACGGACCGCGAGATCGTGACCTGGCTGAAGTCGGACGCTTAACCGACTGCGCCACCCAGGCGCCCCGAGATGGCTATTTATATCCATTTATGCTTAACTGGGGAAATTTATATGGATGATTCTATCATTTTCTTATATATTATGGTGTATTTTTCAGTGTAATTGTCATAATCAAGATGTCATATTTTAGGCAAGGCTCAGAAAGAAATTATTCCACCTAATTTAGAATGTCTGGATATAAACAATATCCAATTCCTCATTATCTTTTAAAAACTTTATTTCCATACTTTGCAACTCAAAATATATTGATAAAAAGCTTAAGAAAATGTACAGAAAATGGAACTGCAATTGGAAACTTTCTACTTATAATATTCTTAATTCATGAAATTGTTTTTTTGGCCTAGTATTTTCTGAAGTCATTCCAAAGACATATTTGCTAGTAACATTACAAGCTTTAAAAAAATTTTTTTTAAGTATTTTCTTTTGTATTAGGAAGCTCATTATCTTACTATTCCTCTCTCCTGGCTGACCCTGGGGAAAAAAAACTTCTAAGAATAAAGGTAGAAGGTGTCATTTTGGCAGACACAAATGTAAACAAAAAAACCTAAATCTCAAATAACATGATCAAAATGTACCTCCCCCCAAGAAATAAAGAACAAATTGTCATAGTAGTAAATTCTACAGTATTATATTTGATAAAGGGTTAATTGGTACCTGGAAAGAGCACAAAGTTTTTATGTTTTTTTTTTTTTTTTTTTTGGCCAAATTGTCCTCCTTTCCAGGTGTAGCAAACCATGTATTCTGTTTCTTTCCTCCACTCCTCTTTCCTCCTCCTTCTTTTCTAATGTCCAAAATATTCAGTGGGGAAAGTCAAGTGCTATAGACCAGTACGGAAAAGTTTGCTTTCCCTTTTCTTACCTCAGGGACCTTAGGAAAAATGTATAATCCCGATGTTTAAAAAAAAAAAAAAAAAAGTTCTCAGTAATAACAACAACAATAATAATAAAGATTTTACCGCAAGTGATTGGAAGATTTTTCTAAGGTTTATTTATTTGGTTTTTTTTGTTTGTTTTTGGTTTTTTTTTTTTTTGAGAGAGAGAAAAACAGAGAGATAGAGCATGAGCAGGGAGGGGCAAAGAGAGAGGGAGACACAGAATCCGAAGTAGGCTCCAGGCTCTGAGCTGTCAGGACAGAGCCTGACACAGGGCTCGAACTCACAAACTGTGAGATCATGACCTGAGCTGAAGTTGGATGCTTAACTGACTGAGCTATCCAGGCACCCCGGAAGATTTGATGGTGAGGTCTGCAGAGGTACTGTGCTTTATAAAGTACCCTCACGTGTACCACCATTTAGTTTCTTCCAGAAATCATGTGAGGTGAGCAGGAGAGGTTTATTTCTTCCATTTTTTACCAAAGAACAAAGAGGTGCAAAGGTGTTAAGTGATTTGCCCAACATCACTGAGGGCCATACCTTAAACCCACATTCTGGGTCTACTATCCATACTGCCTCCATAAGCTTTCATTACTAAGAAGTTTCACTACACATACACACGCACACACACACAGAGAGATACATATACATATAAATTACAGAAAAGGAACAAATACTTCTTTATGATTTTCACAGTAGAGATAAAGATCTGTGTTCTTGTACTTGGTTAATGAAATATGTACTAAGTACTACTGATTACAGTGAGTTTATAAAAAGATTGATTCATAAGACAAAACAGAATTTCATTAACATTGAATTATTTTTTTACTATTGAATTATTTTTAAAACTGAATTCTACCAAAAACAATTCAGTATGGATTTTTTTAAATCAAATTCACTTATCCACTCAGTTATTAGTTCAAAATATTATTGAGCACATATCATGTTCTAGGCAATGCACTAGGTACTAAGGATATAACAGAAAACAAAGAACCCTCTGTCTGTACCCTCAGAACACTCCACCCAGCAGGTGAGGTAGATATACAGCAAAGAGTTATTAAGTGCCTAATGAAAGGACTCTGGGAATCTAACCTAGTCGGGATGGGGTCAGGAATGCTTCTCTCAAATAAAAGCAATTAAGATAAAATAAAAAAAAAATGGTAAGAGCTTAGGCCGAAAGAAAGAAAAAGGCAGAGAGGAGGGAGCACAATGAAAGAGCATTTCAGGAAGAAGTAAATTGTGGAAGAGAAATAATGCAGAATTTAGTGGAGTGGATTTGATCACCAAGGAGACAAATTAGCATGGAAAAAACCACAACAGAGCAAACCCGATGGAACTCCAATTCTTGGTACAGTTGGTCAGGTTAAGGAGGAACGACCAAAAATGTTTTTTGGCTTTACTACATATTTTACTTTGTATTGAATTCTTTGTTTCTCAACCAGAGCTCAAAACCACAAGTAAACTGTTTTTATTTTCTGAAATGTAGTGTTCACATGGAATGCAAAAATTAACACTCTTAGATACCCTCTCCTTACAAGAAGCTTTCATCTGCATGGTCTCATTTAATCCTCATGACAGCTTTCACCAAAGGATTGCTCTCTGCTTTTTATCAAGGCTTAGAGACTATTGTTTTCCAAGCATCCAGGATGGCAGATCCAGGATTAGAATCCAGTTTGAGGGTCCTTTGTCCATTGCATTTTCCAGGACACCACACAATGGTTCTTAAGACTGGTTTGCTTAAGAATCCTATTCGTCCATCAAATGCTTATTAACATCCTGTGTGCTAATGAACAAGATAGATCAGTTTCCTGTCTGTTTCCTGTGGAAACTACATTCTACTAATAAACAGATTAATGTCATAAATCAGGATTTAAAAAAAAAAAACTTTTTAAAAAGTTCTCATTTATTTTGGAGTAAAAAACCTTTCATGACCCAAGGAATGAAATGAGGTACTTACATTTGGACTCCATTTCTCTGGTGTCTCCTGTGTCCATTTCCATTGGTATTCAGATTATTTGGCGCTCTCTCTCCCAAATGACCATGGACACTATGAGCAAAGGCATGGCCAGGAAAAATGTCAGTATTTTGTGCAGATTGGCTGGTTAGGATAGTTTCCTTCTCACACATTCATCCAAAGGCTTTTCCATCTGCTGTCAAGTTTTTAGGCACTACTGCATGTGATTCCAAAGACTGACACTGTTAATACCCAGAGTTATGTTCCATCAAAACCTCTCCATGTTGGGAGCAAGAACTTTCCTAGAGTAAAGCTTAGTAAGATAAATCCAGTTATGCTTCCAGTTTATAGCCCAAGCTTTGTATTAAAAGTGGCCTCAGCAACCTGAACGACTAATTTTCCTTTCCAACATGCATGTTTCTTACCTTGCTGGTAGGAGAGAAAGGGGGTTGTTGGCAACCATCCTCCCAATCAAATCCCATAAATAGTCTGGCCCATTTCTTCTGTGCCATGTTCCAGAACTCAGTAGACACCTAGAAAGAAGAAAGTAATGCACTAAAAACATATAAAGTGGCAGGTCAGGTTAATGCAAAATGTAGAAACATTCCTTTCCTGAAACTCTCCTGGAAAGGAAAGTTAGGTTTAGCAGGGCCCATTCTGCTACCATGGATGTACAGCAACCTCCAAACCTGGAAATAATTGATCCATCCTTTGCAGGAAGAGGGGCAGGGGTGGGGGACATATCACATTCCAGAATTCTAAAGGACACCAGGTTGCAAACTATTGGGTAGATTAAGTGGAATGAGATTTCAGAGGAAGGAGCAGAAAAAGGAAGACCACAAAAAGGAAAAGGAAAGATGGAAGAAATGAGAAGCAGTATGGGAAAGAGACAGAAAGCATCCTGTTATAGGAACTGCAGAAACAGAGATCTGTTATCAAAGGCATAGGTATCTCAGGCAGAGTGGATCTGGCAGTTGAAGTCCGGTAGCCGCAAGGCAAGTGAGCTCCAAACACAATTCAGCCCCCTGCCAGGCAAAGGCCGTCCAGCAAGGAGGCCAAGGGAGCAATGGGAACCCAGAAAGAAAGGACAGCTTCTTTGGGGATGGAGTGCTTACAAAATGCATAGATCTTTGGAACCTTATCTAGGTGATCAGAATCTTCTGGGGTCAAATAGCCTGGGCTATTTGACAAATACCCTAGGTGAGTTTTAGGCACAATTAAGTTTAATCACCACTGGCCGAGATGATAAAGTTGGGTGGTCAAAGCCTTGGGTCATAGACTGTCCAAGGCTATTTCCTGGTCACAGCACCTAGGGCAGAGCTGTCTGGACAAAACAGACCC